CCCGGTGATTCATTTTCCCACACCTAGAAGAATTACTGGGTGGGATTTGCACATTTTAATCCTCAATACATATTACCAGGTTAATTTCCAAAAAGTTGTGCCAGTTTATAATCCAGTGGCATATATGAGTATGTCAGTTTTCTTTTTTTATATTAGGCTGAATTTGTGTGTCTGTTGGCACATTTTGGTATCCCCCACCCCAGTTATTTATAGCTTTTATTTATGTTTCTATCTTCAATAAATGAAGGTGCTCTTTCCCCAAAAGTAAATAAATAATTCACCTTTTTTTCCCCAATGTGGTATTTATTTTGTGTTTGGTTTGAAGTAAAGATGTAATTTTTTTCCCAAAATAATTAACATATTATTTCAGGACCATTTATTAAATCTATCCTTTTCACCAAGGGTTCCAAATACCACATATATCATAGTAAATTCTTGCATATACATGTTTCTGAGCTTTCCTTTTCTTTCATGGAGAGTAAGGCCCAAATCTGTTTGGTCCATTGCCCCCAGGAGCTGACTCACTGTACTGTGGGTGCTGCATATGGTTAACAGATCATCTGTTTCTTCCCACACCATTGCTGTGTTTTTAAATTACTGTAGCTTTACAATCAGTATGTATTATTTTTATGTTATTTCTAAATTTTCCTTGGCCAATGTAAAAAGTCTTCTAGATGAGCATCAGAAACATTTTAAGGCCAAAAAAAAATCTTAAGATTTTATTAAAATATTATTAAATGTATGTTCTATTGGAGAGAATTGTTACCTGTAACAACATCGTTTTACTATCCAGAAACACATTACTACTTTATTCAATTTATTTATTTACTTATTTTTATTCTAGTCTTTCTTTCCTTAAAGGGTATAATAATTTTCCAAGTAATTCTCTTGGGGTTTCTAGGTTTTTACCTATAAAAAATAATTTTGTCTTCTTTCCAGGATTCATTTCATTGGCCAGAGTTGCCACTGTTAAGTAAAAAAGTCACAGTAATATGTGACTTTAATTTGTTTTTGTTTTTTTTTTTTCAGTGAAAAGGGCCTTAAAACTGGAAGGCCTGGAGACAAGATTCTCTGCTTGGAGTTGAAAGGACAGTGATTCAGGGTGAAAAGAGGTAGAAGAAAGGGATTGGCTTTGAGGGTTTATGTTGAACACCTTGAATAGCACCTGTCTTTATCATTAAAGTGACTTCATTTTAAATCACATCTGTACACAGGTTATTACAAGGCCTGAATTAAACCCCAGAACCAGAAGTAAGGGCATAAAACTACCTTTTTCAAGTGTCAAGTCACAAGGAGTACTCTGCAATCAAACTGTATGGTTTTAGAGTTTAGCAATTTTATTTTTGGTGTGGATTTCTAACTTGGAATTAGTGCCTTCCTGAGTACATTATCTTTGAATTCAAACTGTGATGTATTTCTGGATTTGAGAAATTACCAATCCTTTTGGTAAGAGGAAGGAGGAATTGTGGCAAAGAGATTGGAACTAAAGACAGAACAAAGCACCACAGAACTGTTTGATATACTAAATGATTTCAGTGTTTAGCATTAATGGAATTTGTTTTAATTTCTCAGCCTGGTTATATAGCTGAAGCAGTGTACAAAGATCCTGTTACACATCTTGGGAAACTGTTTATTATGATATAGGATTTAGAATGATTAAGAATCAAAACTATATCACCAAAAATTGTATCAGTAAATCTTTCTCTGTAATTGTTGTGGAGGTTTGCCCTATTCTTACTATGTCATTTTTATGTTCAGCAGCACAGTTCATTTGTTTCATTGAGTTGTGAATAGCTAGTAATTACTTGGGGGAAAAAATTTGTGAGCAGCCTTCTAAATAAAGTTGGAAATAATACAATAGGTTTGTTGGGCCTTGTGACTTTATTTTCAGTATGACTGGCCTGCCTTACTTGTGTATTCTGTGCACATTTTATTAATCAGTTATTTCACACAGGCAATTTTACTGGTGGTCATTGTGTATCATAATTTTTCTGGCACAGTTCATCTTTTTGTCACAGTTGTACTGTTGCTCTACTGGTTTCAGTTTGTTGATTTCTTTCTTGCCTAACTACTGGCTTTGTGGTTACTTCCTTTAAAACTGTGAATTAGATACATGAAAACTGGTGAATAGCTATGCCTGTGATTCAGGCAGAAAGGTGTGCTGAGCACACAATTTTGACCAGTGGTGTATCACCTGGATGATAGGCCTTGGGAGATGGCACCCACTAACAAGATAAATTGATGCAAATGGATGTGTTCTTTGCTGAATTATTAAATATCTAATATTACCTTGGGTTTCCTTTTGTTCCTAAATCTTCTATTTAAACAAATTGTTTCAAAACTCCATTCCTCTAACTCAGATACCATGTAAAGAGATATGAAGAGTTTGAAGGAAGAATTGTTAATACTTAATGTGAGATCTTACATCACTATTGGCAACCAAAGAGAGAAAGAGGAAGGGAATTTAAAGTTATTGAGAGATAGCAGGAGACAAAGGTCAGCAAGGATGCAAAAAACCGAAAATGAAGAGGTCAAATAATTAGATTTTAAGATAAACCGAATGGCAGGAACTGTATCTTACTTTTGCACATTGAGGACTTTGGGTAGTAGATACTCAGCACATGCTATCGAGTGAACCATGGTGAGACTATCCACCAGTCACTTAAACTAGCAAACTGCGATACCTCCGTCTTCCTCACCTGTAACATCCTGTAAGTTACCAGTCGCACTTTACGCTATGTCTGGATTGTATCATTAATCTCCCCTCCTTCTTGTTTCCACTACCACTGCTCTGTTTTACCTTCTCCAAATAAATACTCATCTTTACTTCCTAATGATTTTCTCTCATTTCGCTAAAAGTGTAGACTCCACACAACCATTATTCAGGATTATTGGTCTGAAACACAGATGTGACAGTGACACGCTCTAGTTTAAAAACCTACAAGGGCTTCTCATTACAGCCAGAAGTCCGAACTTTTTAGGTTGGCATTCAAGACTTTACAGTCAGATTGTATACTACTCCTTTTTTCTAACCTACCATAACTCTCTTCCCCTCCACATGCTAGCCAGACCATATTACTCAGAGTTCCCTAAAACCTGCTGTACATCAGTGTTCGTGTATCCATGTTTTTGATTTACATAAATGTTACTTTCTCCCTCTCTTGGGCTCAAGTCCTGTAAGTTCCAACTAGAATACATCTTCTTTTTCTGAAGTTTTCCTCTGTTCCCTTTAAGCCTCAGCAGAATGAATGGTTCACTTTTCTGTGCTCCATTATGCTTTCTGAGTACCTCCTATTAAACCCCTTTTCACCTTGCTTTATAGATTGTCTTTGAGAATAGATTGACTCCTTGTGTATACAAGTTTGTCCTATATCTGTCATCTATTTAGCAAAATATCTGGCACATAAAATGTACTCTGTGGGCCAGGCTCATGCCTGTGTTCTTGGCACTTTGGGAGACCTAGGCAGGAGGATTGCCTGAGGCCGGGAATTCAAGACCAGCCTGGGCAACAGCAAGACCTCAACTCTACAAAGAGTAAAAAAAATTAGCCAGGCATGGTAGGTGCGGCCTGTGGCCCCAGCTACTTGGGAGGCTGAAGTGGGAAGATATGTGAGTCCAGGAGTGTAAGGATGCAGTGAGCTATGATGATGCCACTGCCCTCTAGCCCAGGCAACAGTGAGACCCTGTCTAAAAAAAAAAACAAAAAAAGCACTGTGCACATCATCTCGTTTAATCCTCATAACAACTAATGAGGTTGATGCTATTAGTATATCTTCCTTCTTTTATAAATAAGTAAGCTGAGATGAAATGGCCTCACAGGCAAAGCAAAACTTTTGAACCCTGACCCAGATTCATCCAACTTCTGAAGTCCATACTCTTAACCACTTTGCCATATTGCTGTCTCCACACCTGTGCATCCTCAGCACCAGCTCTTCAGTAAATACTCTATACACGCTTATTCCCCAAGTGAGTGAGAACTCCACTCCACACAGTAGCTTGGGCAGACTGGTAGTATGGTAGTATATGCACCATTCATAAAAATGTTTTTAAACATTCAAAACACATACAAAAACAATATGTTTGTTGACAGGGTCTCGGCAACGTTTGACTTGGGTAAAAAAGCTTCTGTGTCTAAATATGATTGGCTTTTATAACATAGAACATGGCCTGGTAATGCACAACTATAAAACAGTTCGAATTGATTTCTAGGACACTGCTGCCCCCTTACTTCCGTCTTTATTATGAATGTTCTTGTAAGTCAGACAATCTAATTGAATTTTTACTGGCATAAGCCAGTGTAATGCATAGAAACTCTAAGATGGAGGAATGGTTAAGATTAGCAAAGTCTGTAGCAAAAAACAAAAGTGTTTTTTAAGAAAACATATTAAGGACAGGCACGGTGGCTCACGCCTGTAATCAGTCCTAGCACTCTGGGAGGCCGAGGCAGGTGGATTGCTTGAGGTCAGGAGTTCGAAACCAGCCTGAGCAAGAGCGAGACCCTGTCTCTACTATAAATAGAAATCAATTAATTGGCCAACTAATATATATAGGAAAAAATTAGCCGGGCATGGTGGCACATGCCTTGTAGTCCCAGCTACTTGGGAGGCTGAGGCAGGAGGATTGCTTGAGCCCAGGAGTTTGAGGTTGCTGTGAGCTAGGCTGACACCACAGCACTCACTGCAGCCTGGGCAACAAAGTGAGACTCTGTCTCAAAAGAAAAGAAAAGAAAAGAAAAAAGTTACGTTGAAAAATGCTTTAAATGCCATGTATTTTTAGTGCTTATATAGATAAGTACAAAGTAAATTGTCTTTTCTTTGAGTTATCTTAAGGATCAAATAGTAAATCAGAACATAACATTTAACACTTAAAGATCTTGAGAGTGAATGTTAGTAAAAGATAGTGATTTTAGTTAATTTTTTTGTCATCTAATTTTGTTATAAACTTAGTAAAATGTAGTATAGATTCAATTTTGTAACTCTTCTTTCCTGTTATTTCTCTAGTGTTGTTAATAACAATACTGGTAGTGGAAGGAATCGCAGTAGCCCAAAAAACCCAAGGTAAAGTACTTACAGTGATAACGTATTGCATGTTCCGAGCAGTGGGCTGGCTGATTTGAAAGGACTGCACCTTTCAAGTGCTATTTCTATAAGCCCTTTGCGGTGTTCAGGCTTTCTGTCAACGTATCAGTTTCAGTGAACTGGGTTCAGCTACATTTAACAAGAGTAAATTGTCAACATAAAATCTTGCCCTGATAAATTTTTTAAATTGGCATTACAAGTATCTCCTAGCATGCTGTGAATTATGTCCAGAAATTAAATGAGAGTTATACTTTATCACTAAGCAAAAATAAAAATCCACTTTTCCATTGTAAACAAATGAGACATTTCCATTAGTATCTTATTCAAAGCCTTTTGGTCCTGTTTTGATTGTCCTAATTTATGAAAATTAGCTAGTGTGATTTTTTTTTTTAGCCAGATTTTCATATCAGCATTTACTACATTTCCAATATAACCTTATTTATCTTTTATTTTCATCAGTTACACATCCACATAAACAGGCATTCTGAAAAAGTAATTAGGAAAAATCATCCCCCCATTGTACTCTAGTTAACTTCCTGCTCCATGGAAACAATCATTCTTTTAGCTGCTTCTTTTGGTATTTCCCTTGATTTCTCTAAATATCACGCTATATTGCTACTTCCTGATTATTTCAGTTTTAGACATTAGATACTGATTTCTCACTGTGGAAGATGGAAGTTTAGCTCTTTCACACACCTACCATCCACACACATTCTCTAATCTTCCATTTGTACCACCCTTTCAGTAGAGTTATGCCATAATTCTGGTTAAATCAGTATTCAAGATTTAAATGAAGCTACTCATTGAACTTTTTCAATATGAATTTTGTTTTAAGTTTAGGAAAAATTTTTTTAATTTTTAAAATTCCCCTTCCTCCTGTTCTGTCTTTCTCTATTCTGTCGTTTTAGGAATTTTTATTATTTGGTTATTATGGTCCTCTTGGTTTTTGTTTTTAATCTTTGTGTTTCCCATCACTCTTTCTGTACCATGTTCTTGGAGACTTCCTCAACTTTATCCTCTAAACCAGGAATTAGAAAACTTTTTCTGTAAAGGGTCAAATAGTAAGTATTTAAGGTTTTGTAGGGCATATGGTCTCTGGAGCAACTATTCTTCTGTTGTGATATGAAAACAGCCATCAGTGGTACACAAATGATGGATGTGGATATACTCACATTTCAGTAATATTCATTTACATCAATGGGCAGAAGGACAGATTTGGCCCAAGACCATAGTTTGCTGACTTCTGCTCTACATTTTTTAATTTCTTCTGTCTTTGGAATTTTTTTTGTTTGTTTTCTGAATGTTCTTTTTTTAGAATGTCCTTGGTTTTGTTTTATAGATTTGCTTTTCTGTCTTCTGAAGATAATACATGATAGTTTAGTTTTGTATTACTGGTTTGTTAATATTAACATTACCTAGCTTTGTTCTTGTTTTGGTCTATTTTTCATATTAGAGACTTTCCTCAAATGTCTGATGATCCTTGAATGTCTACTCACATATTAAGAGGGGCACTAAAAAGCTAATCATTAGCTATCTGCAGGTGTAGGTTGGGATGGTATACCGTGGCCCTCACTGTGGAGTGACCTGACAGCGGGGAATCCCTGAGTCTGTCTTGTTAAGTCTGTTTTAGGGCTGTTTAGTTAGATTCCTCAGAGAAGAATCTTTCCATTTCCTGCTTAAAGTTTCTATCTCTGAGGAGGCCTTTGGGGCATTCATTGGGAGAAGACGACTGGAAGTATCATTCAGTGTGTTAACATTTACTCATCTCTCCTTTTTTAGGTTGGTATTTTTATCCTCAGCTGTGTCTTGTGTCACCTAGTCCAGTAACCTGTTGTTTTCCAAAGAAATAATCTTCAGTTTTCTGGTGTGGTATTAGAGCAGATTCATGGAGTAGGAAAGGGTGATATTAGAAATCAAACTGATTTGTAAACATTTTTAACCAACTTCATGTTTTTAGGAAGCCCATTTTCACACACCAGCCCTCACCCTACTTCCTAGTAGTGCCAATTGTTACTACCATTAATATATCTACCCCTTTGTACTTTTGAGTTTATGCCCTTAAAAAAAATCCTTTTCACTATTGTTTAAGTGAAGTTTGAGGAGGAAGCAGAGCTCATGCATATATATTCAATCTAGAGTCCTCAACTAAAATCCCTCTGTAATCTTTGAATCTTGACTATTGTGTTAAACTAAATGTAAGGATACCATATCAGAAAGTAACTCCTGTGATCCTTTTATTTTTATGTCAGAACTGAATTTTATGGAATTTTACTGATTTATCACCTTCTTCTATGTAGTTTTACCCTTGTAAAATCCATACAAACATTTTATTTACCTGTTTTCCTACATGGCAAACTTGTACTCTAGCTAGCTGCAGGTTTTTCCTGAAAGCAGAGTAGACAGGCTTACCTTCCTTTTACTTCTGCTGTACTCCATTTGTGGTGTTAAATTTGGCAGTGATTCTTATGAAATTTTATATATGTAGTATAGAGTGGGCAATTGTTTGGAAAGTTGTGAGGGAAAGAAAAGAGTGATAGTATCTCTTTCCATAGTTAATGTTTTAAATGATGCTTTTCCCAAAGATGGACAAAATATTGGAATCAAGCACATTCCTGCAACCCAGTGTGGCATTTGGGTTCGAACCAGCAATGGAGGTCATTTTGCTTCACCAAATTATCCTGACTCATATCCACCAAACAAAGAGTGTATCTACATTTTGGAAGGTATTTGACCAATTTTCTGTCTTTTATTGGATAGATTTTTACTTTATTGTAAAATTAAATGCATTGGTAAACTGCCCTGTTTAAAGCAGTTTGAACAAAATTTAAATTTGTATTTGAATTAAACTCTGTTGATGATAAATATTTCTGAATATTGACTACATTAACAACATAATTTGTTGAAATTTTGTGAGAATTTTGAATCTCCTAAAGCATACTTAAACTAGATGCATCAGTATATATGAAAAATCTCTTTGATAAGAAACTTATCAAAGATACCAGCATCTCTTTTAAGAAATTTATCTCCACATTAGTGAGTTCCTTTCATATCTTCTGTTATTTTCCTATGTATTGTGGAAGATACATTGCATCTCATGAACTAAGCATTAGTTTCCTGACTTCATGTTTAATCAAGAATCATTCAGCTAATTTATAAGTTGTGTATGTCAAAGGGAAGGATTACTAAAGTTCTACAGGGTAACATTATTAGTGTAAAGTATAACATTTAGAATGCTTCTATGTAGTAATATAACAATTGTCATCTATGAAGCAGTAATGGAGGATTGTTTTGCTTTTCTCATTGTGTCAGTACATTTATGTTCATTCTTATTTGTGTTGCCCTGATTTGCTTATTCTTATTTTCTAGCTGCTCCACGTCAAAGAATAGAGTTGACCTTTGATGAGCATTATTATATAGAACCATCATTTGAATGTCGATTTGATCACTTGGAAGTTCGAGATGGGCCATTTGGTTTCTCTCCTCTTATAGATCGTTACTGTGGCGTGAAAAGCCCTCCGTTAATTAGGTCAACAGGGAGATTCATGTGGATTAAGTTTAGTTCTGATGAAGAACTTGAAGGACTGGGATTTCGAGCAAAGTACTCATTTATTCCAGGTAAAGAATCAGTTATCTTTTTAGTGATTGGGTATCTGACTCTTGTTTTGAAACCTTAAGATTGGAAAAGATATTCATTTGGTGAAGACTTCAAAGAAATTAGCAAGGTCAAAAGGGAATCAGTTCATGAACAAATAAAAACTGGAAATAGAACCATATCAACTGAATTTTGAGGCATATCATAGATGGTGTCACCTTTTTTTCTTAGATTTCTTTCTGTTTTATAGCATATACTCAAGGCCAACATCATCATAGTAAATACATTTTTTAAAACAATTAAACAAATGGTCTTATTTTCATAATCCCCACAAAATTCTTTTGGCAGGTTTTTCCTTATTGAACTGATTGAATTACCACTCATTTGAATAAATAATCTAGAACATATTGAGCAATATAAAGACTGCTCTGCACTCAAATGTAAAAGTTCTGGGTTTAAATTATTTCTCTGTACCCTAATAACTATACAACTATTAAGCACAGAGTTATGGCTGAGATTTTCCATTAGTAAAATGGGAATGCCCGCTGTTTAAGTTTCCTGAAGCCACCATAACTAATTGCCACGGATTTGGCCACTTAACAATAGAAATTTATTTTTTCAGGGTTCTAGAGACCAGAATTCCAAATTCCAGCAGAGCCTCACTGCCTCTTCGACCTCTAGTGGAGAATCCAGTCTTTGACTCTTCTGGCTTCTACTGTGTTTCCCCGAAAATAAGACCTACCCATAAAATAAGCCCTAGCAGGATTTCTAAGCATTTGCTCAATAGAAGCCCTACCCTGAAAATAAGCCCTAGTGACGGGCGTGGCTACGCAGCGCATCTGCACAGCCCATGCATTTCATGGCGGAGCGGTAAAGAAGACGAGCAGCCCTTCTCTTCTGCCCCATCGTGACTGGAAAGGTGTGGGCAGCCCCACCAAGAAGCTTGGCTCCCCCTGCCAGGTTGTGGCCATCCTGTGCGTGCTGCAAGCTGAGGCTTTGAGGGGAAAATAACACATCCCCTGAAAATAAGCCCTAGGGTGTCTTCTTGAGGAAAAATAAATGTAAGACCCTGTCTTATTTTCGGGGAAACACGGTAGTGGCTTGGGTTTGTGGCCACATCACTCCAGTTTTTGCCTTGTAATATTTGCTTTTTTTTTTAACCATATAGGGTAATATTTACAGGTTATGGGAATTCAGATGTAGGTATAATTAGCAGAGGGAGCTAATATTCAGCCTACTACATTGACTTACCACCCCATGGTAGATTAGAACACTTTGAACACTATAAAGCCCTATCCAGTGTAAAAGTATACATATCCCTAATGCAGAAACATAAAATTGTACAAGTTACTATTCCTTTCTTCAGAGAGCTCACAAACTAACAAGATGAAAAAATAACTTGGTAAAACAACTATATGATCTTTTTGCTTTTATTTCTTCATGTAAGCAATTTGTTAATTGAAAAAAAATTTTAAATATCGAAATAAAAAATATTTGTAATCCTACTACCCTATATATAAAGTCAGTGTTAATAGTTTGGTGTATGTATGTTCCTTCAGATGTTTTTCTACATCTATTAATTTTGTTTTTAAAAACTGGGATTATGCTGTACAGATAGCTTTTTTACCTGTTTTTGCCTGAAAAACATAACCAACTTTTTGCCCCGTCGGTAAACATTTTGGAAGTTTTTAATTTGTGCTTCAGTGTTTATCTGCTCAATGCCAAAAGGATAGCATTTTCAAAAAGCAAAATTTATTCAGTAGACTTTGCTTTTTTTAGAAAAGTTTTAGGTTCACAGCAAAATTTAGCAGAAGTAGAGTTATCTCCATCCTCCCCACAGTCAACATCTTATACCAGAGTAATACATGTATGCTAGTCAGGGATCCCACACTGACACATCATTATCACCTAAAGTCCACGGTTTATACTAGGGTTCACTCTTGGTAGTGTGTGTTCTAAGGGTTTGGACAAATTTATAAAGACATGTATCTACCATTACAGTATCCTATAGAACAGTCTAACTCCCCTAAATATCCCTTGTGCCCCACCTTTCATCCCTCTATCCCCCTAACCCTCTGGCAGCCGCTCATCTCCTTACTTTCTCCATGGTTGTGCTCTTTCCACAGTGTCGTGTAACTGGAATCACACATTCATGAATACTTATCCTTTTCAGGTTCACATCTTGCACTTAGCAATATGCACATAAGGTTCTTCCATATCTTTTCATGGCTTGATAGCTCATGTCTTTTTAGCACTGAGTAGTACTTCATTGTCTGGATATACCACAGTTGTGTCCACTCTATTGAAGAACATCTTGGTTGCTTCCACATTTTAGCAATTATGAATAAAGCTGCTATAAATATTCGTGTGCAGGTTTTTATGTGGACATTAGGTAATTCATTTGGGTAAATTCTAATGCATGCTACAACATGGATGAACCTTGAAACATTATGCTAAGTGAAATAAGCCAGACACAAAAGGTCAAATATTGTATGAATCCACTTATATATGGCATCTATTCATAGAATTTGTAGAAACAGAAAATAGAATGAGTGGGTTTCAGGGGTCAGGGGAGGGAAAATAGAGAGTTAATGTTTAATGAGTATAGATTTTCAGATTGGGAACGACAAAAAAAAGGTCTGGAAATAACGAGTGGTGATGATTGCACAACATTGTGAGTGTACTTAATGTGACTGAATTATACATTTAAAAACAGTTAACTTCATAAATTTTATGTATAGTTCACCACATTAAAAAGCAGTGACTATTGAGCTGTTTTTTCACATTGGCAGGGAAAAGAAAGATGACTAGGTGTGATACAATATACAGGAGGTGTGCCTTGTAAAGTAGTTCATAGAAATATAAGAACCAATAGTTTATATCAAAATAACTCATTTGATTAAATTGGTCAGGTATTTGGTTTTTATTAACTAAATCAACTAACTGAAGTAACTGATACACTTTGTATAACCCATAAAGACACCATTACAAAATCTTATACATAAGTTAGATTTTTGTAAGTAAGTTTAGGCTACTTGAAAGAAAAAATATGTCAAAATAGGGCTCTTATTTGAATAATGTTTTTAAATATTAAAAAACAAATTCAGCCAACTTTATATGTAAAGAGCTACGTGGAGACAAGCTCTTTTTCCTCTGTTGTATATGCCATGAGAGCAACTTTATATGGCTATAGACAAAGTATAGCCCAGGAACAGTGGCTCACACCTGTAATCCTAGCACTCTGGGAGGCCAAGGCACATGGTTGCTGAAGGACAGGAGTTCAAAACCAACCTGAGCTAGAGCGAGACCCCGTCTCTACTAAAAAATAGAAAGAAATTAATTAGCCAACTAAAAATATATATAGAAAACATTAACTGGGCATGGTGGCACTTGCCTGTAGTCCCAGCTACTCAGGAGGCTGAGGCAGAAGGATTGCTTGAGCCCAGGGGTTTGAGGTTGCCGTGAGCTAGGCTGACTCCACAGCACTCTACCTTGGGCAACACAGTGAGACTCTGTCTCAAAAAAATAAGTAAAAATAAGTAAATAAATAGACAAAGTATACAATGCTTAGTACCTTTCACATTTGTATTTTACAGTGCTTCAGAGTTTCTACCTACATTATATATAATTTTATGCTAATGACAATTTCAGGAGAATTATGTAGTGCTTCATTTTGTAGATGAGGAAACTGAGTCAGAGATTAAGTGATTTTTCTCAGACCATATAGTGGCAAATCCAGGGCTAGATTCCAGTTCTCTAGGCCACACTTCCTACTCTATCATGTCTTTATATAATGTAGATGAGGATTCTCAATTTTGTCACTAAAAGGAAAAAAAACCAGCACGTGGCAAAACAAATAAGCAATGCATAATTAGCTTACTATGACAGTGTCTGCTGTTATTTAAAGTCATGTTTATAAAATAAATTTTGTCTAGAGATGGTAAATCTGGAAGAAATCTATTTAACAATGGTGAGAAATTAGAGAATAAAAATCTCTAAGCTATTGGTGATATGGAAATTTTGATGCAATAATGTCAATATCCTAGAAATCTTCTCTACACATGAAAAAATTCTGATTAATTTACCAAACAGCTCCTATGACTTTTTTCTCCCAATGCTGTTTAAAATTTCAATTTCTCTTTGACATTTCTCTGAAAAAGTTCTGAAGTGTCTGTTACTTGTCCCTTTTTAGCAAGGAAGAGTTTAGTTTAAGTTTAAAAAGAACAATCTCTGAGAAGTGTTCTAAGTTAAATAATTTTTTCTGCTTTTTTAAATATGTAATTTTTAAATTTAAAAAATTTTTAAATTTCAGAATATCATGGGAGTATAAACAGTTTGGTTATATATATTGCCTTTGCACCACCCAAGTGAGAACTACAAGCATGCCCATCTCCTCCCCCTCCTCCCTAAATATGTAATTTGATAGCTTCCTAAAGTATCTGGAATTGAAGACTACAGTTTTAACAAAAACTAAGCATCCATTTACATGCAGTAAACTGTATTGAGATAGATTTTCCAGGCTAAGGATTCTGAGACATTATAGACTATCCAACAATTTTCTTTTTCTTTTTTTTTTTTTTTTTTTTTTTGAGACAGAGTCTCGCTTTGTTGCCCAGGCTAGAGTGAGTGCCGTGGCGTCAGCCTAGCTCACAGCAACCTCAAACTCCTGGGCTCAAGCGATCCTCCTGCCTCAGGCTCCGAGTAGCGGGACTACAGGCATGTGCCACCATGCCCGGCTAATTTTTTCTATATATATATATTTTTTTTAGTTGGCCAATTAATTTCTTTCTATTTATAGTAGAGACGGGTCTCGCTCCTGCTCAGCTGTTTCGAACTCCTGACCTCGAGCAATCCGCCCGCCTCGGCCTCCCAGAGAGCTAGGATTACAGGCGTGAGCCACAGCGCCCGGCCTATCCAACAATTTTCTTATTCTGGCAGTTTGATATATACAGTTCCTGTATGAACTTTCAAATAACTTTTTAAAGATACCTATGTTTATAATTTTTAAAATTTATTTATTTTTTATATATACATATATATATATAATATATATTTATATTTTTTTTTTTTTTTTTTGAGATAAGTCTTGCTTTCTTGCCAGGCGTAGAGTGAGTGCCTGGCGTCAGCCTAGCTCACAGCAACCTCAAACTCCTGGGCTCAAAGCAATCCTCCTGCCTCAGCCTCCAAGTAGCTGAGACTACAGGCATGCGCCCACATGCCTGGCTAATTTTTCTATATATATTAGTTGGCCAATTAATTTCTTTCTATTCATAGTAGAGACGGGGTCTTGCTCTTGCTCAGGCTGGTTTTGAACTCCTGACCTCAAGCAATCCGCCTGCCTCGGCCTCCCAGAGTGCTAGGATTACAGGCATGAGCCACCGCGCCCAGCCTAAAAATTTATTTTTATTATAAAATATACATAACATAAAATTTACCCTTTCATCATATTTAAGTGTGTAATTCAGTGGCACTAAGAATATTCACAATGTTGTGCAACCATCACCAGTATCCATTTAAGCAAAAGTTTAGAAGACAAATTTTAATGATTCAGCAAAAAGGAATTTGATTCCATTTTTAACATTGAATATATTTCATTATGTTATATGTACCACATTTTGTATATCTATTCATCTGTCAGTGGACTACTATTTTTGACACTTGGTGGTGAGTTTTCAAATCAAATAAATAAATCATTCATTCATGATGGGATCAAAAGTGTAAGTGTTGATCCTGGAAGTGAGCTCATAAATGACCAATGTTGTGTACTCTACACCAATGAAAGCTCCTCTCACCTTGCTATTAAATGGAGCATTAGATGTAATTTGAAATGTTAACCCTTGAAGTAACTTTCTCAGTACCAATCGCTTTCTTCTTTTTTCTGTTACAGATCCAGATTTTACTTACCTAGGAGGTATTTTAAATCCCATTCCAGGTTTAGTATATTACCACTTTTTCCTCATAGCATTTTTGATCAGTCTTATTTTCCTTTGAACATTATTCATTTATTCTTTCTAGATTGCCAGTTTGAGCTCTCAGGAGCTGATGGAGTAGTGCGTTCTAGTCAGGTAGAACAAGAAGGAAAAACGAAACCTGGCCAAGCAGTTGACTGCATATGGACAATTAAAGCTACACCAAAAGCTAAGGTATTGTTATATACTAAGTCACTTCAGAGAAGAACATAATATGACATGATTTGCAAAATGTGTCATTTTCATTTGTACAAACATTTATTAACTTTATAAACTGATATTACAACTTCTAAAAGTTTTATTTTAGTCACCTCATTGGGCACCTACTAAGATCCCAGCATTGTTATAGCTAAATAAAAGGAGTCTTAATTGTAAAAGATTAAGATTCTTAAAATCTACCAATGGCTAATTGTTGAGTGTAAGTGCTGATTTGTATGATTATAGATTCATAAAAATATTTTTTATGGAGGAAAAATAGATTGAAAAGGTTAAAGTGTGTTCTCAGAGGTTACAGGGTTGGTCATAGCAATCTAAAAGCCAAAAATCACAAATATGATGAGTCTTTGTTCTTTGTTCTGTGTTCTTATCTTGCTGTCCTCCGCTGATCATGTAGAGCTTTTATTGGAAAGTACTGCAAGGAAAGAATGTTTTTTAAATAACTCTGACAGACAGATTGTTCTCTCTTAATTCATACTTCTAGGAATATCACCAGAGTTAAGACTATATTTAAAGTGTATGTGGGCCGGGCGGGGTGGCTCACGCCTGTAATCCTAGCACTCTGGGAGGCCGAGGCAGGCGGATTGCTCAAGGTCAGGAGTTCAAAACCAGCCTGAGCAAAGACCCCGTCTTCTATATAAATAGAAAGAAATTAATTGGCCAACTAATATATAGAAAAAATTAGCCGGCATGGTGCGAGCCTGTATCCAGCTACTGGAAGGCTGAGCACAGGTGCTGAGCCCAAGAGATTGAGGTTCTTGCTCGTGAGCTAGCGACGCCACGTCACTCACTCTAGGCTGGGCAACAAAGAGAAACTCTGTCTCAAAAAAAAAAAGAAAAAAAAAAGTGTATGTGAAAAAGAGAGAAAAGGAGAATGAGGGTGGGAGAACATACCTTTAAAGAATTGTAAAAATTATGGCGGGGCATGGTGGCTCACACCTGTAGTCCCAGCAACTCGGGAGGCTGAGGTGGGAGGATTGCTTGAGCCCAGGAGTTGGAGGCTGCAGTGAGCAATGATCACACCACTGCACTCCAGCTTGGGCAACAGAGCATGACCCTGTCTCTTAAAAAAAAATTAGATTGACAATTATGGATGGTTGTACAGTGGACTAGATAACCTAAAAACTCACCTACTAAGAAACACTTGGAAACATTGTAAGTTATAACAGATATTCTTTTTTTTTTTTTTTTATAAACAGATAGAATCATTTAAGACATTGTATGTCCTCCCAAAAATGATAATTCTTAATGGACTAATAATAAAGAGACATAACTATAAATTAGAGCAATAAACTGAAATTAATATTATAGTGCACCTGCATGATTTCAATAAGCTATTACTGCTCAGGAGTAGACATGCTAGGAACTTGGTTTTAATTCCTACACTGGGAAGAAAAAGGCCTAGAGTTCATGTGACCTTTGTGAGATCTCTTTATATAGACTCCGAAGCTGCGACAAAATAAGCGTCACACAAGGAGGGGGTCAAAAAATGTGGGCACCCCTCTCCGCTGTGAAATAAGTAGAAAACGTTGACGAGAACAATATATATGCACGACCCCTCTTGAACAATGTGCAGATTTGATGAAGCAAAAGACCACGAGAAAACCTTTCGGTTCTTCTGGGCTTCGGTCTCCGGAGTGCGGAGAGATAAGGCCTCCAATCCACAAGAGAACGCAAACAAATAATAAAATAAATCCAGCTAAACGAAGGGGACTACATGTTAAAATAATACCAAATAAAAAGTCTCTGCAAGGGCCACAAGACAAGGAATAGCACCAATCAAGGAAGCAATGAGCCTTCAAACAGCCAACAATATACAGAAATTACAAAGGATGGGGCGGTTGAGAACATAAACCAAATTTTTCGGCAGCTGTCAACCACTATTCTCTCGCTCCAATCCTAAACATCCCTGCAAACGTAAGCGAATCACGCGATAAGTTGCCAAAAAGATCTAACACAGTGGAACTACAATAGCTGGGGCCACAAGTGGCTCATGCCGTAATTCCTAGCACTTCTGGTGTAGGAGCCGAAGCTGGGAAGATCACTTGAGATCAGTAGAGTTGAGGAAGCGCATACCCTGGAAAACAAGAGTGTTGACCACTCACATCGCTCTAACTAAAAATACATAGAAAAAATCAGGCCACAAAAATAACAAACGCAATTGGTAGGCCCAATCAGACCAAAGACAAAATGAGATACATTGATACATAATCAATAATCTAAACTATACTAAACAAAACAAACAGGGGGATGTACCGATTACTACAATCCATTCTGCTAATTTGCGGCACCAGACAAAACTACGGCAATATAGGACGCGCTGGACAGATTGAAAGCACGTGGCTGGATCGCCCACATAACAGGACAAAATACCATGGCACCATCATCAGAAACTATAGGTCCATTTCACTCTATACACCAGGAGGGCAGACATACGCCATAAATGAACAGTAGCAGACCAATAACATACTCTCTGGAAACCACGAAACTACCACATAATCTCAATCCCAAATGGTGGCCTAGGGAAAAAACAAAACTTGGTTAGACGCACAACAATTGCAGACAAGAGCTAGAGTGCCAGCAATCACACCTTGTACATCCTCTCACGAAAAATCAACCCAAAGGTCCACGCCGGAGCAACAGATTAAACTAAGTACAGGAACTCGTTAGAATTTAGAGGAAGAATGTTGGAAACACTCTCGCTACGACATTCTGGCGCTATAAGCAAACGGATATGTATGAAAGAGAGCTT